AGATGAGCTCTTAGGCAGAAGCTCTCCCCTGTGAGGGTGCTGAGGCACTGGCACAGGGTGCCCAGAGAAGCTGTGGCTGCCCCATCCCTGGCAGTGTTCAAGGCCAGGTTGGACACAGGGGCTTGGAGCAACCTGCTCTAGTGGAAGGTGTCCCTGCCTGTGGCAGGGGTTGGAACTGGGTGAGCTTAAGTTCCCTTCCAAACCATTCCATGGCTCTATCTGTTCACCCTCATCCCCCCAGGACTCACCTGCCATAGGGTGAGTGCTCATCGCAGAGATCCATTGCCACGGCCATGAAGGTTCTGGGCATCCTGGCGTTGGGAACGACCCCCACATCAGCTGTCTGGTGCCAGCGGAGCCGGGCAAAGCTGTCCTGGGGGCTCTGCCGGCGGTAGGTGGACAACTGTAAGGCAGAGAGGGTGTGGAGCTCGGGAAGTGTCTCTTCCATCGCTCCCAACGCCATCCACTGGGATGCAGCACCGCCGGCAGGACCTCTTCATGTGTTCACAGCATCCTCCTGCACCTTGGAAGTGGCTCCAGGATGCTAAAGGATGGGTAAGCCCCCTCCTCACCCCCACTTCACCTGCACGAAGCCAAAGGGGAGGAGCGGCTCTGTCTGCCCAGCTGATCCCACATGGAATGCCTGCCGCCAGTCGGCAATGAGCGCGGGGAAGGTGCAGTTGTACTGGTCTGTGTGCAGGAAGGCGTTGGCCTCACCTGTATCCGACAGAGAGGGGCTGGAGTGATCCCAGTGGGATAGTGGTGGCTGCTCTGCCCCATGGTGAGGATAACAGGGCCTCACCCTGGTACCAAGCGATCCCCCGCAGTGTCATGTTGAGCAGTGGGTGGATCATAGCATTCCAGAGCACGGAAGGTGTTTGAGGGCCGGAGAAGTGCTGGTGTGGGGAGATGCTGGGAGACAAAGCTGGGCTAAAGGGGTAGAAAACACAAGGCCAGACCTGAATCCCTTTAACCCTGCACGGTTAAAGCAAACACCGTGCAAAAGGGGAGCCCTGGGGTCCCCCTCTTCCCTCTTTTCCCACTGAGATGTGCCTTACACTCTCAGCACAGTAGAGGCTTTACCCAGAGGGAGAAAAACGATGCATGGAGAGGGAAGACCATTCCCAGATTCTACGATTCTACTTGGACATCCCCCTCCTTAGTGGCAGGAGGTGTCCTTCAGCTTCACATCTTAGTGTTCAAGGCCAGGTTGGACGGGGCTTGGAGCAGCCTGCTCTAGGGGAAGGTGTCCCTGCCTGTGGCCGTGGAACTGGATGAGCTTTAAGGTCCCTTCCCACCCAAACCAGTCGGTGTGATTCTGTGTGACAGGAGCACTCTGGGGATGCTTTAGGAGAGGAGGTGGGATGGGAATTGATGGAGGATCTCCCCGAAAGTATCATGGTGTGGGGCAGGAGCTGTTTTACTGCATCTTCTCTCACCTTCTCATGTCCTCCAGGAGCCCACATGCCTGCAGAGCCCTTGGGGAGGACCAGGCCTCTATGGGGGTCCCCCCCCAGGCCGCTTCCACCAGCCCCACAGGGTACCTCAGAGCATCATAGAGGTAACGTCCCAGCAGCCAGCAGACAGCCGAGAAATAGGTGAAATTCCCATGGCCGAGGTTCTCTGTCCAGGAAACATCAGGCTGCAATGGGAAAAAGGGGGGAAAAGCCCACTTCCAGGCTTTCTGGGGAAGGAACAGTGTCCTCACCAGCTGTTGGGATGGACCAGGGCAAGTCAATGTGCTCCAGATCCTCCAGCTCCACATCAGAGCGGGACGGAGCCGCAGTGAAGACACGGACGTAGGGATAGCGAGCGGCGGTGGTGAGTTCCTGGCTGGCATTGGTGATCTAGGGAAGGGTTGGGAGCAGGTGGGGTGCTTCCCTGCCTGCTCCCTGCCTGTGCTGGCAGCATCATGCCATGCCATGGGTCTTACCTGCAGGACTGTCATGACCATGTTGCTCTGCCCGCTGCAAAGCCACACATCCCCAAAGTAGATGTCCCTCAGCGTCACGTTCTCCGAGCCCTGCCTGGCTGTCAGTGTGTAGGGACCACCCTGATCCATAGGGTCCAGGATGGTCATCCATGTCCCAGAAGGTTCTGGAAGAAGAAGATGGTGCTTATCTTTCCTGTTCCTTATGAAGACACCAAGACCTTCACAAAGAGGTTGGATGGGCGGCCAACAACCCATGGGGTTGGACAGGCAACAAGGGAAAGCTGCCCCATTGCAGGGCTGGGTGGGGAAGTGGGGTTTGGATGCTCTCCACCATCAGAGGGTCCTTCCTCCTGCAGGAATGGAGGGGTTAACCAGAAAAATCTCCAAGACAAATGTGTGTCAGAGCAGAAGCTGCTGGGAGGAACCAGGATTACAGGAGCAGCTTGGTGTGTGTGACACTGAGATGTCTCCAGCTAATTTTAGAGGCGCCGAATTGAGGCGTAAAGATATTCTGCTGGAGCTTAGCGTGGATTTTCTGGCCTGATTCAGGCTGGATCCTGCAGATCTCCGGTAGCAGCCGATCGCTGCTCTATCACAAGACACCTCCAGGCTCCTCAGCTTGTGGAGCAGCCATTTAGGCAGTGATTTCACCCCCTGCCCCCCAAAAAGGTGAGGAGCAGCCCCCCAACTCCCTGTGCAGGGAAGAAAACTATCAACTGAGATCTAAGATGCTTCTGAGCCCTCACAGCCTTGAGGAAAGCTCACCCAAAGGTGATGGAGCCCCACCAGCAGCTCCAATGTGGGCTTTGAATGTGCTTCTTGGCTCCAAACTCAACAACCCCAGCTGCCCATGAGGGTCCAGCACTGACCTTTAACTTGTGCCATCTTCTTCATGAGGACAAGGCCACCATCGCCAGAGAGAGCCACGGTCACTGCAGCCCCTGGCTCCCCATAGCCCCACACCACGGCCCCTGCCGGCTCCTTCTGCAGCACCATGTGGTCGCCATAGTAGGATGCAAAGCTGAGGATTGCCCCTGGAACCAGCAGACAGCACCAACCATCAGCTCCAGGAGGGAAAAGCAAAGGTAAAAATCCTCTGCAAGGCCTCCAAGTCCTTCTGAAATACAGATTATTTGAGATCCAGCTTAATTTAGAATTTCCTTTGGTTCTGGTCAACCTTCAGGTGGTTGAAATCCCCAAGGAGATGAGGAAGTGGCTGAGTTTGAATCTCCAGGAGAGCCCAAGTCACGTCCCAAAGCCCAGGAGCTTGTGTTATACATAGTTTGGATACAGATTGCGGTAAGAACTCTTCTAATAACAGCATTTCTGCCAGCCCAGCCTTGCTAATAACTATGTTCTGACATACTTTTCCCTTGCTTAAGAAGGCTTGGCACATGGTGGGGTGGGAAGCACCAGGAATGCGGCACTGGCAAAAGCAAGGAGGGAACAGCGGTCTCAGCCCTGGCACCCCCAAAAGCCCCGTTCTGAGGGTGTGAACAGAAACCCACACTCGAACTGGGTCAGGGCAGCGCATGCAGGGCTTGGACGCGATGTCCTCAGCCTCTGTGGAAGCAGCCGGTCCCAAAGCCCCTTCCCGAGGCTCCGGGAAGGACGAGTTACATAAAGACATGAGTTGGAGGAGGGAGAGAAGTACAAAGTGAGGCGCCGGGGAAGAGGCTGGAGCTATAAAAAGCGGCTGGGAGGAGGGAAGGGAGCAGAGCCCACGGGACGCGCCGAGGAGCCGCATGCAGCTCCCGCCTTACGTAAAGCATCGTCCCACGGGGCAGCGGCGTGCCAAGGGCGGCAGAGCAGGGTTTAGGGCATGCCAAGAGCCCCAAAATGGGCTCAAAGAGGGGCTGGGGGGTTCCAAGGGCATCGAAGTGGGGTTGAGGGTGGTACCAAAGGTATCGAAGTGAGGTTCTGAGGAGGGCAAGAGACGTGAAGTGGGGTTCTGGGTATGCAAAGGGTGTCAAACAGGGCTTTGGGTGTGCAAAGGGCCCTGAAATGGGGCTGAAGGGACGCCGAGGACATCAAAGTGGGGCTCAATGTGGTGCCAAAGGCATTTAAGTGGGTCAAGGGGGATACCATGGGTGTTGAAGCAGGGTTTAGGGGATGCCAAGAGCCCTAAAGTGGGGCTCTGGTTGTGCCAAGGGCATTAAAGCAGGGCTAAGGGTGGTGCCAAAGGCAGTGAAGCAGTCAGGGCAGCTACAAAGGGCACTGAAGCAGGATTTAGGGGATGCAAAGAGCCTCAGAGGGGGCCTCTGGGGGTGCCAAGGGCACCGACATGGGGCTTGGGGTGCAAAGGGTGTTTAAGCAGGGTTGAGGGGAATGCAAAGGGCTCCAAAATGGGGCTGAGGGGAGGCCAAGGACCTCAAAGCGGGGCTAAGGGTGGTGCTAAAGGCATTGAAGCGGGTCTGGGCCGTACCAAGGGCATCGAAGTGAGGTTTAGGCCATGCCAAGGGCTCCCAAACGGCGCTTTCGGGTGCCAAGGGCCCGAAGCGGGGCCCGGTCGGGCTGCGGAGGGTGTCCGGGTGTCCGGACCGGTCCCCCCAGCCCTTTACCTGCCGCCACCGGAGCCAGCGCCAGCAACGCCCACGCCGCCATCCCGGGGGAGGAGGGGGATTGAGGAGCACGGCGCGGGTGGGCACTAGGACCCGGGGCCCGCCCTGACCCCGCCCCTTTGGGGGCGCGGTCAATATTTGGGGGCGTGGCCACGGCGGTTGCCAAGTAACGGCGTCCTCACGGCTGCCTGAGGCGCTGGTGCGGCCTGGCCGTGTCCGAGGGGAGGCCCCGGGGGAAAGGGACGGGGCCGGGCTGGGGGTGCAGGAGGGGAGTGGGGGGTGACCGGGGGAACCGGGGAGAACAGAGGGGGAACCAAAGGAACCGGAGTCCGGGACCCTCCGTTACCGCAGGCCGCGCAGGCGCGGTTAGAGGCAGCAATGCACAGGCGCGGCTGGTGCCCTCTAACGGCGTCACCGCTCCTCCACCCTCCCGTGTTGCTTGTGCAAGGGTTCGAGTCCCGGTGCCGCCAGGTCGGGATAGCGGGGATGCGGGTGGTTTCTGACCTCGCTTGTGCCGCTGCAGGGAACTGGGAGTGATGAAGATGTCGATCCCGTTCTCCAGCACCACCCTGAGGCTGCCCCCCGGCTTCCGGAACCTGCTGGAGGGGCTGGTAACGGAGGTGCTGCGGGTGCAGCCCCCCGACATAGTGGGTTTTGCTGCTCAGCACTTCCAAACGCTGCTGGAGCAGAGAGAGGGTGAGTGGCGCAGCCCAACAGCACCCCTGCCCGCACCTCCAGCCCCTGCTGCCTGCCCACCCTGTGTGGCATCAGCCCTCCCCTTGTGCCTATTGCCTCGGGTGTTGGAGCTGCTCATGTGCCCATCACCCATGGCATCGTGCCTGCCCTGTGTGCCCACTACCCGTGGCCTTGAACCTTCCCCTTAGCGCCCATCACCCAGGGCGTCAGGCCTGTCCATGTGCCCATCCACGTGGCATCAGGCTTTCTCCATCCGCAGCCACCTCGGCTGACCCGGTGGTGTGGGGAGCCCAGCTGGAGGAGCTTCAATCCCAGCCCTCTTCCCAGGTAGGCTGCCCTCCCTTGTCCCTCAATCGCTTGAGAATTTGGGGTCTCCCCTGCTCCTGAGCTTTAGGTTTTCCTGCTTTTCCTCCAGGAGCCAGAGAAGGACAAGGACAAGGAGAAGGGCAAGGAGGAGGCTGGCGGTGCTGCACCCACGGTAAGTGACACAGCGCCGCACCCAAACTAGCACTATTCAAACCCGAAGCAGCAATGAGGAGTACTCAGCAGCACCCACACACTGGGATCCATCCCAAAACCCCTCACTGGGATGCAACCCTCGGCTGGAGGGGAGCGTGTCCCCTCTTTAGAAGGGACACCTCCCTGGGGCCACCACTTAAAACTGTCCCCAAAACCCTCTTTTTTTCCCACTGGGAATTGCTCCCATCCCACCCCCCTGGTGCTTCCTTAATGAGGGTTTCTCCTAATGAGGTCCCACCATAATTAGTGGCTCCCACCCGGGATTTTTCCCAGTTCTAGGATCTGGGCTGAGCTCAGGATGATATTTTAAGACTCTATATTTAGGCCCCTGCATCTCTGGAGGTTGTCAGACATCTAATAGCAGCCCCACATGGAGAAGGGAGGTGACATTGCTCCTCTTCCAACCCCCATTCCAAGAGCTGAGATGCCCTCACGGCATTTTGGGGAGCGAAACTCTAAAACCTCATCCCACAAAAGGTGATGGGGTTGTGTCAAAGCTGGGTCCTGGTTTTAAGAGGGATGAACTCTCTGCTCATTCTCCCCTCATTTTTCCCCCCTTTTTCCTGTTTTTCCCAGCCATATGCGGTGTGGGCATGGCACGGGGCACAGCATCCCTGGGAAAAACAGGAAGGAGGGATGGGGAATAAAAAGAGCTGGAGATGCCAATCGGCTACTGCTCCAGCTGCCCACCCAGGGCACCTTTCCAGCATCAAATTCCCAATTTATTGATTCCTTAAGGGATATTTGAACACCTCAGTGCCACCACCTCAAACCATGACGGTGGGATGCTTCCAGCAGGATGTGCCCCTTTCCAAAGCACAGGTTATTTTATCTGGATCCAGATTTAATCAGTGCTGGAGCACTTGGAAAAGCATCATCCCAATATTCCACACCCCCCCGCCCCGCTCCACGTTGCGCCCTGGGGTGGGTTGTTTTCTTGGATGAAGGGAAAATGCAGGAGTCTGGAACGGGCTCAAAATCCACCGTTAATGATTAGAAATGTTCTGGCATTTTGCATCCCTCCTCCGCAGCCGCAGCCGGGAGACGCCGGCGCCTTTGCCAGGACCGGCCAGAGCACGCTTGGGAGATGGGAGGGGGGGCTGCATCCCACAGGAAAACCTGGGGTGACTTCCACTGTCACATTGCAAGTGCTCCTGAGCCCTCTGGGTTTGTGCTTTTGGGGGTTTACTGGTACCAGGCTGATCCTCCAGCATTTGGAATCCTAGTTTTAGCAATGGTTTTCCCAGCTTTTTGATGAGCGAATCATCCCAAACACTTTTCCACTCTGCTCCCCTCAAACCACCTTACACTCCCTCACCAGAACAGGATAAGATGGATCTGGAGGGTCTATAAAAAGGGAAGGGGGTCATTTTTCCATCTACAAATCCCGGTGGAGCAGCCAACGCTTCTCCTGGAAGCTGGAGCAGAGCTATTCCCACCCCCTGCTGCGCTGGTGGGAAGAGATGGTGGTGGAAAAGTGTCTCCAGTGGGAATTGCCAGGAGCCGATGGCTGGCATGGGGATTGAGGGATGCTCCGGGAGCATCCATCACCCTGGGAGTGGGGTTTGGGTGCCAGGGTGCTGCTGGGGGGGTAGGGACAGAAATGGAGATGGGGATGGGAACAGGGATGGTGATAGAGACAGGGACGAGGGTGATGACTGGAATGGTGACAGGGATGGTGATAGTGACAGGGATGATGGGACAGGGACAAGAGTGATAATGGGGATGGTGACAGGGGTGGGACAAAGAGAATGATGAAGTTGGGGATAAAGACAGGGAAAGGGTTAGGGATAGGGATGGGGGTAACAATGGGAAAGGGGGTATTGATAGGTACAGGCCCATGGTGGGGTCAGGACAGGGATTGTGGCGGAAGTGATTGGTATGAGGACAGGGATGGGGACAGTGCCAGTGCCAGGGATGAGATGGTGATGTCAGTGAGGCAGGGATGCTGATGGTGACAGTGGTGCTGGTGATGGCAGAGAGGAAGGTCGGTGCCACCATGCCCGGAGCTGGGCTGGGGAGAGTTGTTGTGGCCTGGCTGTGCTGGGGGTGCTGGTGCCATCCTGGGGTCCACGCTGCATCCCCAGGATCTGGGAGCTGGCCAGAGCCGGCATCGGCAACTTCTGTGGTTGCTTAGCAACTCCCAAACCCGGATTAGCGACGCAGGGTGGGAGATGCGGGGGGATGCGGGATACAGCCCCCCTCACCCTCCAGGGGTCCCTCTGCCTTCCTGTGGTCCCCCTGTTGTGTCCCAGCACCTTGGTATGGTCCAGGGCAAAAGTGGGGTCTGTGGGTAGCACCAAGGGTGGAAAAATGGTTGGAATTGCAGGTGTTGCTGGAAAACACCCCAAATTTGGGGGGTAGGATGCTCCTGCGAGCAGGAAAGGGACCCCCAATTCCCAAAATGTCTGTGTTTGGGCACAGCACCCCTTGGGCTTCAGTGGACACTTGGTGGGATGTGGTGTCCTGCCATTCCCACACTTCCTTGCCATCCTCACCCTCACCATCCTCACCCTCACCCTCACCATCCTCACCCTCCTTCAGAGCCAAGCCCTAAGTAGGTTGGGAATGTTTTGCTCCCCATGGAAACACACCCGGGGGGGCAACCCCCCAACTCCAGCATCCCTGCAGGCCAAGCATCCCCTTTCCCACCCCAAACTAAGCCATCACCTCCATTTGCCGTGGCAAACACCTCCCCAGATCCCTCCGGATCCCATCCCTGTTAACCCTGCCACGCATCCTCCGCGTGTCATCTTTCCATGACACGAAGCTCCGGGCCGAGCTGCCGGCTCCTTTAAGGCAGTCGGAGGCTGCGGAATCAAATTGGAGGAGGCTCTAAAAAAAAGAGGAGAAAGGGGGAAAAAAAAAATAGGAAGAAACACACACACCCCCCCTCGCTCCTAAAACCTGGAAGGGTGTCGGGCTGATAGGCTCGCCCGGAGGGAAGCGCATTACGTAGGCAAGCGGCTCCGCTCAACTTGCCACCGGGATTGCTGCCGGGAAGCGAGACCTTGCCGGAGCCCCTCGCCCATCGCTGGCCGCCCACCCCTGCTTCACCATGGACTGCTGCAATGTAGGTTCATCCCGAGCCTTCCCTTTCCCCATCCCCATCTCCCCATCCTAACATCTCGCCTTTTTACATTTCCTTTAGGATTAGGGTTATTGTTGCTCCTGTGCTGGGGGCGGCGGAGGGGATCTGGGGGGCTGCTGGAGGTGTTATGGAGGGGGGGAATTTGGGAGGGATGGGGGGATTTTTTGGGGGGGGGATTTTGGGGGTGTTATGGGGTGCTGCAACCAACTTGGCGTGGACCCCCCACCCAGGCCCATATGCCACCCCCCTCCCCAAAATTCCATACCCTCCTTTCATACCAGTTCAGGATCCATGCAGCATCCCGCATCCTGCTCAAGGAAGTGCCCCCCATCCCCGAATCCCACAGCCAAACCAGGGGTTCTGCTTTTATCCAGCTTTTTATTCCCCCACAAATGACTCTCCAGGTGGGATCAGGGGTTCTTTATGGATAAAGGGATAAACTGGGGAGAGCAGGAGATTGCACCCCTCCATCCTCACCTGGGGTGAGCATCCGCTCGCTGCCCGATCACCAGCCAGCTCAGAGAGTTGATCCACCAAAAATCCACATAATTTTTCCCTCTTTCTCCCCTTCTCCCCCTGCTTTTCCCCTTTCCTCCCTCTTTTTTTCCCCTTTTCCCCCCTTTTCCCCTCCTGCTCAACCAGCAGCACAGAGAGAAAGCCCCATCTCCCCTCCTGGATTCAGAGAGGCAAAGCCCACCCTGGATATAAGATCTATCCCCCCTGGATACAGGATTTCTCCCCTGCATATAAGATTCCCTCCCCCCCATATAGGATTTCTCTCTCTCAATATAGGATTTTTCCCTGGTTACAGATTTTTCCTCTCTGTATATAGGATTTCTTCTCCTGAATATAGGATTTATCCCCCAGCACAGATGATTTCTCCTTCAGATGTAAGATTCCTCCCCCGGATATAGGATTATACCCCTCTGTATACAGGATTTCTCCCCTGGATATAGGATTTCTCCCTTGGATGTAGGATTTTGCCCCTGGATATAGGATTATACCCCTCTGGATATAGGATTTCTCCCCTGGATATAGTTTTTCTTCCTGAAATATAGGATTTTGCCCCTGGACATAGGTTTCCACCACCTGTACATAAGATTTCTCCCCCAGGATGTAGGATTTCTGCCCTGGATATAGGATTATACCCCTCCATATATAGTCTTTCTCCCTGGAATATAGGATTTTGCCCCTGGATATAGGTTCCCCCCACCTGTATATAGGATTTCTCCCCTGGATATAGGATTTCCTGCCCCTGGATATAGGATTTCTCCCCTAGATATAGGATTTCCTGCCCCTGGATATTGGATTTCTCCCCTGGATATAGGTGTGTGTCCCTCTTATATAGGATTTCTCCCCTGGCTATAGGATTTCAGGCCCCTGGCTATAACATTTCCACCTGGACATATCATTTCCACCTTGGACCTGTCACTTAAGCCACTACCGCTCTTTTGTTCCCCTCACCTTTCACAACAGTAAACCAACCTGAGCAACTTTCCAGAGCCATGGAATGCTCTGAAGGGAATAGCATCCCCCCAGAAAAAACAACCCACAGCTTCCAAATAACCCCCCCAAATATTCCCTTAACTCCTTTAAAGCGCTTCCAGGGTGATGCAAAGGATGTGTGTGGACACCGGAGCATCCAGCATTGGCTCGCTCCCATCTCATCTGTTTTTCCTCCCCTCTGGCATCGCTCTCTTCCCAATTTTCCCAGTGCTTTCAGGCAAAGCCCTGAGGAGGGAAGCAGGAGGATGCAACAGGCTGCATGGGGAAGGGGAAACTGAGGCACGAACAGCTCAGCTTGTGCAGCATGAGCCCCCCTGTGCCAAACCTTCCCAAATCCACCCTCTGCTCCCATGGATTCTCCTTAATCTGGATCACAACCCTCAGGAAGCTGGATCCAGCCCCAGCAGGTGGTCCAAGGTGGATTTAGGGATGAGTAGGGGGTGAAGCATCTTCCCCTGCTGCATCTTTGGTCACAACCCCCCCGAGACACCTCAGGATGTACATCTGGGATATAACTGGGATGTCCGTGACCCTGTTTTTTAAAAAAGATCCCTAATTTTTAGCAGAAGACCCTTATTTTGAGTAAAAAAAACCTGACTTTTATCCAAAAATTTTAGCACCAGGGCTAATTAAGGACCTTATTTAAATGGATTCAATTGGGGTGGGGAGGAATGATGCTGGTTTTGGTACCCCACCACCCCTAACCCTCCTGTTGCCGCCATCAGGAGGGAGCCTGCACGAAGCTGGACGAGGACATCCTGGATATCCCCTTGGACGATCCCGACGCCAACGCGGCGGCCGCCAAGATCCAGGCCAGTTTCCGTGGCCATATGACCCGTAAGAAGATCAAAGGGGGCGAGATCGATCGGAAAACCAAGGACGCCGAGTGCGCCAACAGCACCCGCGGCGGCGACCTCCGCAACGGCGACTAGGTACATCCCAAACTTCCCTGGTCCCTCCGATAGGGCTGGTTTCACGCAGGTGCCGCTCCGAGCATCCTTCCCGGTGCTGATCCGGGATGGAAAACGGGGTTTGCGTCCCAGGAGGTGCCGGCACGCCGCAGGCAGCCCCTGCCTGCCCTAATTTTGGGAGCGTGCCGTAGTAGTTAGGATGGGAATGCGAAGGCCTGGATTGGAATTGGATTTCTCCCTTAGCAACACCGCCCCGGCCGCCTCGCCTCAGCACATGCTATTTTTAAAAGCCTGTGTCACAGTCTCCTGGCAGGAAAAGGTAAATTTAAAGAGCGCCCACAGTGCTGAGGCCGCGTGGCATCGGAGCCCGGGAATGCTGGAGCCCATGTGGGGAGCAGGGAATGGCCCCCGAGTCCTGGGAGTGATGGTTTGGGGTGAGCGTCAAGGAGGTCTCAGTGCTGGCTCGGCCATGTGTGTGTGGCGGGGCTGGCGTGGAGGCAAGCGGGATGTAACTGGGATGTGGTGGGAATGGAGTGGGGAGGAATTGAGGATGCAGTGGGGATGCAATAGGGGTGCAGTGGGGTTTCAGCAAGAATCCAATGGGAATGTGCTGAGGATGTAGTGGGGATGTAAAGGGGATTCAGTGGGAATTAACTGAGGATGCAATGGGGATGTGGGGGGGGAGTAAGTGGGAAGGAATTGAAGATGCAGTGGGAATGAGCTGAGGAAGCAACGGGGATTCAACAAGGATGCAGTGGAGATGCAGTGGGGATTCAGCGGGTATGCAATGGGACCAAAGTGGGAATTCAGTGCGAATGCAGTGGGAATGAACTGCGGATGTAGCGGAGATGCAGAAGGAATTCGGTGGGAATGAAATAGAGACGCAGTGGGGATTCAGCAGGTATGAACTGAAGGTACAGTAGGGATGCAGTGGGAATGAGCTGCAGATGCAGTGTGGAAGCATTGGGATATCAAAGAGGATGCAGCGGGGGTGCAGTGAGGAGGCAATGGGAATGAACTGGGAAATCACTGGGGATGCAATGGGAACGAACTGAGCTTGCAGTGGGGACACTGGGGATTCAGAGGGAATGCAGTGTCAATGAACTGAAGATGTAGTGGGGATTCAGGGCGAATGCAGTGGGAATGAACTGAGGATGCAGTGGAGATACAATGGAGATTCAGTGAGGATGCAACAGGGATGCAATGGGAATGCATTGAGGATGCATGGAGATGCATTGAGGATGCAAGTGGGATGCAATGGGGATGCAGCAAGCGTGCTGTGGGGCTGCCATGGGGAAGCAGCTCAGGCCCACAGAGCTCATTAGGCTGCCTTGCTAGGCGCAGGCAGGGCAGGGGTGGGTGAGCTGCAAGTAGGGCAGGGGAAGGGTGCGAGCAGCAGGAGCAGAGCGTGGGTAGGGTGCAAAGAGAGCAGGGGCAGGGGCATGGAGAGGGTGCGGGCTGCAGCAGCAGGGTGCAAGGAGGGCAGAGGCTGCAGGAGCCGGGCACAGGGCGCAGGCAGGAGCCGGGCACGGGATGCAGGGCTCAGGGCGCTGGGCTCCGGCCGTTCTCTGACCCGTGTCTCTCTTCCAGGCTCCTCCCGCCGCCCCCGGACCCCCCCCCTCCTCCGCCGCCGTCGCCCGCCGAGGTCCCGGAGCCGCTTCTCGCCCCGTCCCCCGCATGCGCCCGCCGGGGCCCCCCCGCAGCCCGGCCCCGCCCCCCCGGAGCCCCAGACCCCAATAAAGGTTCCTGCGGAGCGCCCTGTCCCTGCGCCTTATGACGTCACCGGCCCAGCGGTGAGGTCACAGCGCGGAGCTGGGGGTGGGGGGATGCCCGGCGGTGATGTCATACGTGCCGCTGTGATGTCACACAGGCGCACATGGCTCGCGTGACAGGGTAGGGTGATGTTGCAGCTGTGACGTCGTATGATGTGTGATGTCAGAAAGGCTGTGACGTTACAGGTGGCTGTGATGTCATAGAGGCGTGTTGCCGTATGTGCCTGTGACGCCATACAGGTGTGTCACATGCGGCTGTGACGTCACACAGTCAAGTGTGGCACATGGTGTGGCATCACACAGGCCCGTGCCACGTCACCGTGACATCACATGGTCGCGCATGGTACCACCAAAGCTGTGACATCATAAAGGCCACATCACCCTGTCTGATGCGCGGTGTGACATCACGGTGACAGACAGGCCACCCTTGTGACGTCACACAGCCCCTGTGACGTCACTCAGGTCCCCGAGGCCCCACAGAGTCACCCCACAGCAGGCGCCTGGCAGTGTTTAATCACAAAACTCCTACAAAAGGCACGTCCCCCCTCTTCGCCCCCCCCAATTCCCTCCCCCCCTTTAATCCTCTTATGCAAAATCCCCAATTTTAACCAATCTAAGGATATATATATAAAAAATGAGGCCTCCCCCCAAGAGGGTATTTTGGGGTGTTCTAGGTATGGGAGGCCTCAGCCCCCTAAAACCCCGGGAGCCTCCCGCACCCATTAACAACCCCCCCCCCCCACGGCCAGTCCAGCTGCTCGAGGTGTCTTAAAAAGAGAAAAAAGACTCCAGAAAGGGAGAAAACACCCCAAAAAATGGGGGTGGGGGTGCTGGCTGGACACCCCATTTTATGGGGTGGGGGGGGGTCAGACCAAGGAGCCAGCTCGGCTCTGCGCTGGCACCATGACGGGCACAGCGCCCGCCCGTGTCAAGCTGGAAGTGGGCAGCGATCCCGAGGGAATGGGGGTGGGATCCTGGCGGTGCTGGGGAGCCCCGTTCAGGGCGTGGGGTGAAAGGCCCGGGGGGCGCCCCCCTGCCCGTGCCGGGGGGCCCCGGTAGCTGCCAGTGGCTGTGAGGATGGAGGCGGTGTCCGAAGGGGGGTTGGCTCCATAGGGTCTGTCCCGGCGCCCAGCGATGGAGGACAAGGTGCTGGCTTTGGAGAGGGTGTCCGGGGCTGGCCTCCGCGCCCATGATGGGGTCTTGGGGGCCACCGCGTCTTCCCTGGCAAGAGAGGACAGGGTTTGTGGGAGCAGAGGCAGGAAATGCTGATATTCCCATCCCTGGCACCCCCCACTAAAGCAGTGGGGTTGTGGGAGCTCCTGGACCCCAAAACAGGGGAACTAGAGGGAAAGGGGGGGGAAGTGAGGTGGGAAATGCCCCGGTTAACTCTGAAACCTGCTGGGGGCTGTGGAGAAATTGAAACCTCCTCTCAGCCTCCTGTTAACTCTGAAACCTAATGATGACTGGGCAGAGATGGAAACCTTCCACTCCACACCCCCATTAGGGATAGCTAGAGACAGAAACCTCCTCCCACATCCTGTTCACTCTGAAACCTAATGATGACTGTGTAGAGATGGAAACCTGCCCCTGCCCGTTAACTCTGGAACCTCACGCTGACATCTGAACCTCCTCCATGGGAGGGCCGCCTCACTTGATCTCATTGGCTGCCTCCTCCTGCCCATCCCGTTTCTTCCTGCGGTATCCCACGACCCGCCGGGCGAAGAAGACGACGGTGGCGAGCGCACCCAGGGAGCCCAGCACGGCGCCGGCGATGACGGCCTTGGTGCTAGCTGGGAGACAGAGCGGCATGGAGGGGGGGTTGCTTCCCTCCTTATTCCCATGGGGACGCCATAGGGACAATATCCCCCCCGGCCCTGCGGACACGTACTCACTTGAGTGCACCTCCAGGACGATGCGGCACTCGGCCGAACCCGCTTGGTTTTCGGCCGCGCAGACGTAGAGCCCCGACATGTCCAGGGAGAGGTTGGTCAGCTTGAGGGTGCCCCTGTGCCAGTCTGAGGGTGAAGAAATACGGGTGCTGCCCTTGGCCATGCCCCTGGCCCCCATGCTGTTAACTCTGAAACCTAATGAGGACTGGCCTGAGGTTGAAACCTCCTCCCCACTGTTAACTACCTGCAGGGAACGGGCAGAGGGGAGGGAATATTCCCCTAGCGTAGGGAATGGGCAGGGTTAAGGGGATGCTCCACTCCCTGCTCCCACAGCAAGACCAGGCATTACATGGACAATGCTGAGGCTTCCTGGGATTTTCCAGCCCCCAGTTCCACCCCCCCCCCCCCCCCCAGTTGCCCCTTACCCTGTGCCGGGGGGAAGAAGACCTGCAGGGTGGGTGCCGTGCGCTGCCACTGGTACACGGGCGAGGGCTTCCCCTTCCTGGAGCTGCAGCTCAGCGTCACGTTGGCTCCCACCGTGGGCTCCCCGTGCAGTTGGCAGGACGGGGTGGCCGGCGGCACTGCGGACATGGACATGAATCCCAAGGGACAGCATGGCAGGGGACAGAGGGAGTTGGGGATGGACCAGCAGGGCCTTACCGAGCACGGTGAGGTTGATGACGCCGATGTTCTTGCCCATGCTGGAGGCCTCATCCACCACGTTGACCGTGCACATGTACTGGCCCGAATCGTGCTCCCGGGTGGCGTTGATGAACACCGAGATGTTGTGGCTGAGGACGGGGTACAGGAACCCCACGCGGGGCTTCAGCTCCGTCTCCTCCACCTTCACCACCCCGTCCAGGTAGGTCAGGATCTGCGCGGGGGATAACACACGCTTGGTCTCCTCCGGATGGGGTTGTAGGAGAGGAACCCCCCCCAAATCCCAACTTTTGTGAGTAGCATCAGCCCCCTCCACCCTCAACCTGCCCTGAGCATCCACAGCCTGAGAAATGTGGGCATCTCCCCATTGTGGGCATCTCCCCACCATGGGCACCACAAGTACACCCTGTCTCGGGCACCATGAGCCTTCCAAAACATGGGAACTACCTCATCATAGACACTATAGGCTTCCCCCCAGCCATGGTCACCTCCCCTTCATGGACACCATGAGCCCCCCCACCTCCCCCCCCCACCTCCCCTCCTGTCTCACCTGGAAGGGGTCGGCATGTTCCTTATCCAGCAGCCAGGTGACATAGGGCTTCCTCTGGGAATGGCTGGTGTACCAGGCAGGCAGCACTACCTGCTGCCCTTCCACGGAGAACACCGAGCCCATTCCCACGTGCACCTCCAGCACAGCCGAGGAGACACCTGAAAGGGGAAGAACATGGGATGTGACTCATCCCAGCTGCTCTTTTCCCATAGAGACCTCCCCACTCTAAAGGGAAAAACAAACAATCCCTGGCATTGCCAGGAAGCTGGGCAAGGAGGACATTTTAATTCCTTCCCTGCCACAGGAAGGGCTTTCCTGCTGCTCTGAAGGATGCAGAACAATGCCATTCCCTCCCACCCCCATTTCCCACCCACCTGGGATGGGAAAACCTCTGGCTGAAGATCTCCCTTTCCATGGGAATGCTGCTGCTCCGAAGGGGCTACAGTGGCCAGACATCCCCTTTAGATCAGTATTGAGGTACTCTCAACCTCCCCCATGATGCTGCACCAGATTCTCCATCCCATGGGATTTATCTGGGGGGACACATCCATGTGCACCCCTCAAGCTCTCCAGCATCCCCTCTTTTGGCTGCCAGCGCTAAACTGGGATTATTCATGGGTGGTTTCCCTTGATCCCCCAAGCCCCTCTCATCCCAAATACCCCATCCCTGCATCCTCTGCATCCCAGCATCCCCAAAACCCACTGGGAAGAAGCAATGGGATACAAGAGGGTACCACGGGCTGGAGAAGGATGCTTGGCTCTCGCAGGAAGATTATTCCCTGGCTTTGCCTGTAAAGCTCAGCTGGAAAATTAATCGGCTCAAGCAGGTTTGTGCTGTGGTTTAGTTGGGTTTATATTCCCAGGGGAATGCCACCGACGACCTGCATCCTGGTGGCTCCATCCCTGCATCCCATTGATCTGTGTCCCTGGTTGGCCCCGCTCCTGCCAGAGCCCCAGGGATGCTCTGGATCAGGATGCAGGGGAGGTAGGGGAAAGGATGATGCTAACCCATGATCCCAAATCCTTGCTGCCACCTGGGATTTGGGGGAAAATCCCTGGTTCTGGAGGACTTAGGGAGCTTCCCTATGGACTCCAAGGGCTTAATGGGATTTTTCCAGAGCAAAACAAGGCGCTGGGGGGGGGGGGGCGGTATTTTTAGCCTCCTCCCTGCATCCGTCCGTCCCCTCCTGACAAGGCATCGGAGCGGTTTCCGGACAGAGCCTTCCAGCTCCAGGCAGGAAACTCTGCTCCGGCCGATAAAGTCTTCCCAGGAATTGAGAAAAAATGAATTAATTAAATCAAATTTCCCTTCTCCGGAGGAAAAGCGGGAGGAGGAAGATGCTTAAAAATAGAACCAAGAACATAAACCCTTAAATCCTGGTGAGGGAAACGCTGCCGGGTGATGGAGACAGCATCAGGGAGCAGAAATCATGGCTATTAATCTTAATATTCGTTTTATGAAACTATGGGATAGAAGGAAATATGTGATATGGGAAAACAACAGCAATTCCATTGGAATTAGTTACCCTGGGGAAGATACTTGTATTAAATGAGGGTTAGTGGGTAAGAAAAGATGGGATTTCTAATAACTCTCTTGTGTTTTAATAATGGACAATTGATAATAGGAATTCTCTAATAATGATAGAGATATGTTTTGATAAGAATATTAAAGAATATATATATATATTTTTATATATATATAAAAGCATATTCCAAGAATAGTGATAATAGTGAGGATGGGAGAGTGCTAATAGTGGTCACAATAAGGATAGTGATAATAACAGTGATAACAATGCTAATAATATTGATAATAATGCTAATAATTATCGTATCAATACCAAATATGATCATAATTAGGATAATAATGTTAATTAATAATGCA